TGACCAGTTCACCTTCGCCAAGCTGGCGCAGGCCTGCGGCTACCTGCGCGACCCGCAGTGCCTCCTGGTGGCCACCGATCCCGACCCCTGGCATCCACTCAGCGACGGCCAGCGCACTCCCGGTGAGCCCCCCTCACCGCTCCTCCTCGCCCGGGTGCGTCGTGCCAGGCAGCCCTGTGTTCCCCAGGTTTCTCCCACAGTATGTCCCAGGGGTGGTGGATGCGCTGGACTGAGGCCTGGCCAGGTTTGACCACTGGCCCTCCTTTGGGTTTGTGCTGTTGCCCAGGCCCATTGCGGCCTCTTTGGTGGTACTACACTGGGAACTGGCTCAGGTTTCTAGTGAAAGGGTCCCCTGTGGGATTTGCCATGCAAAGCTTGGATGAGATCGTTTGCTAAGCAGCAGGACAGGCTGTGTCTCTCTCGTGTATCACTCAGAGGTTCAGATTCTCATAGGGATGCTGAGCTGCTAGTGCTCCACAGCCTACGTAGTCGTCTCACGTAATGCAAGGTGCTGGGCTGCCTGTGGCCATTGTGTGGTTATCTCGCAGTTATTTCTTTTTCTCCTCCTCCCAGGGACAGGCAGTCTCACAGCAGCAGTGGAAACTGCCTCTGGCCGCAAGGCGCTGGTGGTGGGGAAGCCGAACACGTACATGTTTGATTGCATCGTGGAGCGGTTTGGTGTAGACCCCTCCCGCACCCTCATGGTTGGAGACCGCCTGGAGACAGATATCCTCTTCGGCAAGAACTGCGGCCTCTCCACCATCCTTACCCTGACAGGCGTCTCCCGCCTGGAAGAGGCACAGGCTTATATGGCCAGTGACAGCGCAGCTGCCAAGGATCTTGTGCCCAATTACTATGTGGACAGCATTGCAGACTTGATACCAGGCCTGGATGAGTAGTGTTTGGTATATGTGAGGGGAAAGTGATTGAGTTCCCCATGCCAGATCTCCATCTGCTCCCCACTCTCTCTTTCAGCCCTATTTCCTCAATTTTTTTTTCTTTTTTTTTTTTTTTCTCTCACATTCCAGTACCCTTCTTTAGGGGCAAAGAGTGTGGGGGAAGGAGGGGACACTGTTCAAGTTGTCTCCATTCTATGATAGAATCCTTCTCTCCCTCTTTGTCAGCTGCCAGCATCTCTGAAAGAGAGCTGGAGGGGCCTTGAGGATGACGGGAGCCAAATCAGAGTCTGTTTGTGGTTTCTGTCCCTACAGTGGTTAGGGACTGTCTGTCTTATTTACTTCTCTCATAGATAATCAGTGGTGGCCTTTTACTGCTGTCCCTTCCCTCGTGTAACTCTTCTGAGCTGCAGCCCCTGCAATCCTTGTAGTAAACTCCTCCTTCCCAGGGTATCAGCTATCTTGTCACCCTCTCTGTCTCAGTCAATGCCAGAAGGAGTGTGTCGGGGTTCTGAAGTGTTGAATGAGAGCCTCCCACAAGCACAGGTGAAAGGGAGCCTCATCTCTTCTATCCCCTGTTCCTCAGAGATGTTTCCCTCCAACCCCCTGCTCTGGTTCCATTAATAATTATGCCAGTGTCTGAAGGACTGTAGAAAGAGAAGATAGACTGTCCGTTTCTGTGCCAAACAATTCAGGCAAGCTGTGACTGTGCACAGTGGTTCTGTGATTGTATTATTTTTTTAACCCCATCGCCCTCTCCCAAGGAGCCTGTGAAGGGGAGAGAGCTCCTAGATCAGGAACGCACAGCAGTGATGGACTACATGGCTTTCCCCTTCCCCCTACTCAGTGGATTTTGCCATAGCATGGTGAGAAAAGGGCTGATGGGGGATCTGTGTTCCAACCACTGGTGTGCAGGTGGGGTGTTGTCAGTATTGTCACTGCTGTGAATCCATCACAGCCCTCAGAATCATTCCTTACTGCTTTGTCTTTCTAGTTTTTTTTTAATTTACCTTATTTATTGAACTTAATTTATGTTTAAATATTGTATTATTTGTATAAATTATGCTGACTGGTTGTGCCAAGGGGACAGGGGGCAGTGCCTTTGGGCCTCACTTTGCTGTCCATGTCCCATATTGATGTTCTTACACTCACTTGCCATGTCTCTGTATATAATAAAATGTGAGCATAGGCTGGAAATGGCCTCTTTTTTTTTTTTTTTTTTCCCCTGCTTGTCATCTATGTTACACCGGACCCATCAAGGGGGGAATGACC